TTAGCTTTTTGTCCAAACAAAAGTAAGCCATAAGGCTCCAAAACTGCCTCACCTTTTGCACCAAAAAGGATAACAATATGCTGATTAATTGGTATTTTCTTCCAATCAAATCATACATTTCTGTGAAAATACATAAAGAAAATTGCGCACTCTTTTCTTGGTCTGTCTACTTCTGATGGGGTTTATTATAGCAGATGAAAAATATCTCAAAAAGATCATGACTGACATTTGTCATTCTTTTGACTGACATTTATGATACCGTTTTCTCCACGTGTGGAGCAATATGTGTAGTAGCAAAAGGCTCCTACTGTTTAGTAAGTGTTGTTCTTGCATATATTCCTACATATTTATTAAAAAAAGACAAGGATGAAGGAATGAATCCTGTTGTTTTAGGTGCAGAGACTGATGCTTATAGACCGAGAGAGTTTATTTTATGGACTTGAGCCAAGCTCAAAAAAGCTTTGCCTCCTGCTGGTATTAGGCTGTGCCTCATTACAGAGTCTTTTATTCTGGAGACAGTTATCACTCATGATCATCATCTCAGAGGTTTAGACCAGTGGTTTTTTAATTTCTTTAAAAAAAAGTTCAGACTCTACTTAATCTTCCAATGGAGATATAAAACCCCTGTATAGTTAATTTGTACATACTCAAAATATGTTTGCACCTCATAGATACTTTTTCTGACCATTCCGTAAGTAATGCATGGACTGCCCACCGTGGTCTGTGGATAACAAGTTAGAGATGTCCATCGCTTTGTCTATGATGATTGAACAAATAACATACAGAATAACTGATAAGATGTAAAAACTTCAATTTGCTTGATTCATTTGTATTTAAGAAAGTTAAAATCCTTCTCATCTTTTACAATAAACATTTTTCTCGTCAGCAGTTTTCACAGGTTTTTCATCTATATGTGCAGACATGTGAAGAGAAGACTAATTTCATATATCAAATTCTTTTCTACAAATGAGCATGAGCCACATAACTTATAAACACAGTAAGAGCAAACAGTCCACTGTGTGAAACCAGTTCATTGCAAGAAGCAGACTTAATACTGTGTCCTGTGGGACAATAGTGTTTGCATTTCCCATAAACCAAAGAGGAAGTCTTCCTACTTTAAAATCCATGGCAACTGTGCCTTTGATTTTATTTGGAATTCACTCCTGTGCATGCCACCATCCATTTCACACGTTAGTGGGATACCAAAGAGGCAGTCTGCTTTCAAACTTGTAGTACAAAAATATTGAGGATCAAATTCTGTTCCTTCCACGTAAATATGGAAGGGCTCAACTGATGCCACTGAATTATTAAGGGCTTATACGAGTGTAAGTGAAGGTGGGATCTAGCTTAGGATTATTCTTACCATAGAAAGTGCATTCTTCCTTGCAGCAGTTGGGTGATATGGTGGGATTTTTTTAATATGAATATTTGATGAATTAATTCATAATGTGCAATAGCTGCTGAGGTCTGTGAAAAACCCTCACAAAAGAGTGATGCGAGAAGACAAAGTTGCTCTGATCTTCTCTTGCCCAAGTCTTTGAGAGGTACTTTATACTTCTGCTAGCAAAGTTCAGTTTACCAGACACCACATTAGTTCTGTAATAGTAAATGACTGTGGTACCAAACATACATTAAAATTCTGCTAGAGTCAAACAGAAATTTCTTTGCTCCTTAAAAATGTTCTCTAGGTCCACACAGTTTCTAAGGAGTTTCCTCATTGTTGTTTGATGTGGTAACAGCTGTAACTCTTCCTGTTCTCCCTTTCTGCTGTCATTGGCTCTGCATTTGGGAGCAAGTTTTAGGGAGCGGAGGTGTGGGTACTGCCACCCTGAGATTGTCCAGCATAAGAGCCAAAGAAAAGTCTTCTGCAGAAGGATGCTTCTTCTCCATCTCCCTCCTCTCTCCTCCAATTCAGCTGTTGATTAGCCTCTCTAAAATTTCCATAATAGTTTTTTAGTCATTGTAATGGCTTGGTGACATAGGAAGAGCAAAAAGGTACTGGTATGCTAAAAGCTTTTAGCAGTATTATTTAGCACGTTCATGAGGCCAAAAGGAAAAATGTAACCAGCTGAGAAGTAAGTTTTTCATTCACACGTTTAAGGTGCGAAGAAGTGCACAACACACTTTACTACACAGTTGCTATGAAACAGGGACCTACAACTCTAAATAGCAGCTGTTGTCTGTATGACAAAAATGCATCCTCTATTTCTTCTTTAGATAGCAGACAAGTTATTTTCACTGTTTGATCAATATGAACATAGTATGTGGACTTTTAAGCTTTTCTTAGCCTGTTGGAGAACTCACCGAAAATGTCAACTTAATCACATCAGATGAAGCAAAAAACTTGTTTTATTTTTTTCCCAAAGATGATTAATTTTTTTTCTGTCTATTTGCGCATCCTAAATAAACATTTTGGTTTACTGGCTCCAGAATTCCTCTTACATGTCTAAAAGTTCTATTTGTTAGAAAAGTTGCTGTATTAAATTGGTCAGTACAGACAATGCTTCTGCAGCATTGCAGGACCTTTAGGACATAGCATATGAGTCAACTCACCTGGATCAGTTTTAAATACTAAAGTAGTATCGATCTCCCATCCTCCATGGTACAGTTGCTTCATGCTGACAGGTAGGAGATGCCTTTTTTGCTGCCTTTGGTCAAAATCTCTGTACATTTTATGACTTTCAGATAGCGTATGTTCTTTCCACTTGAATCATCCACCAATTTCCTAAACATTTGTATGACCTATGCATACATGACTTACTCCACCCATTGGAAACCCTACACAAGCCCCACTTCATCAGAATTCCAGTCTAGGAGATTTAAGGGATATTTCAAGAAGATTGTATGCTGAGTCTTGAATTTCATAAACATGAGAACTGTATTTGCCTGAAATGAACCATTTATAGAGAAAGTTTTCAAGCACTTTGCAATAGGAAAGCTATTAGAGTGTTAAATGTCATTTATTATTAATTGGGCTATATAGCACAGATGGTTTCAGGCTATATTTACTACCAAAGAAACTGCATTATAAAATAAAGAGAAGACTGTACTTCGTGAAAAAAACATATGAAATGAAGAAAATGGTAAATTTAGAAGAATAGATTGGACAATAGAACAGAAAAATTACCAAATGTATATTTATTTACCAATCTCTATACTTTCTTTAATGAGCAGAAACAGGCAGAGAAAAAAAGCACTGACTGACCAAAAATTATTCTTTTTAGGTAGGGTGTTATTGCATGAATGATACTGTCATCCATGCCATGAGCAAACTATTAATTTAGGTCTTCTTGGAAGTGGGCACTTACAATTCCTCATCAACACTTTCCAGCTTAGGCAGGAAAGAGGAAGACCTTGTTTCTAGTTCTGCTATTGAATTTTCAACATTAGCAGAAGAAATCTAATTAGATCCATGAGTACTGTATTTGGACAACATTGTAGGAGTGCAACTCAAAGCTGTGCCTGAGTCCTGGAGGATAAGAAATTGTAGCTGTAATTCGCTTACACTTTGGGAATCAGAGAGCCTTCAGTCCATAGCACCACTGAGGAAGCAGGAATTCCCCATCACAGCACAATGAGCTGTGATTCCACCCTTGATCAATGCCCCTTCCAGCATTCCTCACCCTGGGCTTCCAGAAGAACCTCTGAGAACAACAGTCCTGTTGCCTATGACAGGGCAGTTCACTAGTGGAGGATTTTAGTGTTTTCACCCATGAGAAGAAATGAGATACAGCCCTTGCTAGCTGTATATCTAACAAAAGTTAGGAGGTCTAAACCTTTGGAGAATCAGCAGAGAGTGTAAGAGCTAACAGGCTCAACTATGGCAAACATTCGTTGTAAAGCTAAGAGTTGACCAGCAGTACATTATGAAGAGCTGTCTAGAAGGAAGTGACAAAACAGCAGACCTCTAAACAAATAAAACAGCTCCATCCACTATTTCACCCCTGTGCCTGAAGACGTCTGAAAATAAACTGCATTGCTATGGCATTGAATTTTCTTAGGAGTGAAATACCATTTATGTATTCATGTTTTCAGTTTTAGCATTTGCTTTAATCTGTTTCAAGCTTCCTTCTTTTTGCTCCCAGTTTGGCAGCTCCCAGATGACAGAAAAAATATGCATTTATCTTTAAAATTCAGTTAAATATTCAAACCGTGTGTGCTGGTTTTGTCACACCATGCAAGATACTCTTAAAAGTATGTAATCTGGGTGTGAGAATATCTCTTCAAGTTTCACAGGCATTTTCTTCAGCAGGAAATCCACAAAGGCTTGTCCTGTTGTGGAACATTTGACAGCTTGCATTGGTAGTGAAGAGGTAAAGACAGTAAAAGATGATCCAGAAGCTGGTACTGAAAATGATACATAATTTAAGTTACTCCAATTTTTGCAAAACCAAGTTGAGCTCTTTTTTTTTGCTGTTCAACTAGACTTAAGACAGTGTTTATTTTTACCATGTGAAAAATGAAATATAATATGAATGCATAGGATTTTCATAAAAAACTTAAGTATAAAACCAGCCTGGACTTAGCAAATCACATACTGTAGCTGAATAGAACTTCTTATTAAATATAAGTGAAATGAAAAATATTAGTACCATTAGTACTTATGGGAGATAAGACTTAGAGAAATATCTATCATTTTTTGTGAAAATGAGTAATATCATCAGTTAAAAGGAATGCATTTTTACACTTGTCTGTAGACTGCTATGATTTCAGGATTTTCGTAATGGTGAAACTTTGTGCTGGTTTCTGTTCCAGTGGCTGGTACATTGACAATACCCTTGAAACACTGAATTACACAAATTGTACACAGAGTTTGCATGGAAATATTTGATAAAAACTGTGTCAAAACTTGTGAATACATGGTGCAATTTGAGAACAAAACAGTCGTGACAGAAAGGCTGCTTGTAGTTTGAGTTTTCAATGACTGCAGCGATGGGCTTGATCAAACTTCAACTAGCTGTTGCTCTCTTGCTTAATCCATGATCTGTACCTCCTTTTAGGATTGGTGGAGCTGTGCCGACAGTGTTCTCCTATTTTTCGGAAGTGCTTGCTCGGGAGAAACGAGGTGAACACCTGAGTTGGCTCTGTATGTTTTGGATGATTGGCGGCATCTATGCTTCTGCAATGGCTTGGGCAATAATTCCTCACTATGGTAAGAAAAACATCTCCTTGTGATTTGCAGCTCTTCTAGTATGAAAGTAAAGCTCTTGAAGTATAGTTTAAAGAGAGGAGTTCATGCCTGTTCTCAAAATACTGACTCTGCTGTTAAGAAAAATATTTAGTTCTTCGGTTGGAAACAAAGAGAATAGGTTGTACCTTAAATAAACAATACATTAAAAGGTGCAAAAACTAGCCAATACCCGTGTTTAGTCAGATTCTTCACTAGAAACTCAGACATATGAAAATATAATTGGTGTTATTGTTGAATCTGGAGAAAATAGGTGATGTGAAGACTTGAATCAGAGAAAATAAATTTTAGATTTCTGATTGTCAAATTTGTGCTCGCTTTGTTTGTTTGATACAGAGATAAAATGTCAATTATACATTCTTGAGAAAGAAGAGAAAGGGCTATCAACGTTTGCAGTGCTAGTTCGGAATATAAAGCTGTGCTTAATGTTTCATTCTCAGTAGATCTTTTTAGTGGTGCTAAAATAGATAAATCGAACAGATTGCACTTAAATGCTGTAGGGATGAGTTAAGGGCAAATAAGACAGAAAACTGGCAATGGCTGAAGTTACACACACATCCAATATAAGCCACTTCGTGAAAGAGCTCTTTACTGCCCTGACAGGGTTAAATATTATATGGAGGTAGGGATTAAATTCTTAGTCTCCTGGGCTTGCCTTGTAAAAGAGTCAAGTGCTCACAGGTCTCGAGGGTTGCTGAGACTGCTCAGGGATTCTTAAAAATCAGCCTCTGCAAGCACTTCTCCCTGGCACCCCTCAAGACAAGTAAAGCAGCATTGTGAGTTAGCTGGCATCCAAAGCAGCTTTCTCTAGCCAAGTAATGAGGTTTATCACAGTTGGATTGTGAAAGAGAGAACAGCTTCCTAAGGTTTGCCCAAAGTGATGGGAACATTAGGAAGCAGTACTGTCCAGAAACAAATTATAATCGTGCAGACTAATCAAATATATAGACTGTTGCATTAAAATTAATTTTAGAGTCCAGTACACGCAACCTTAATCTATGTGTTCAAGCTTGTCTTTTGGCTTGAATTGCTGGAATCAAAGAGAGGAATTTTTGCTGACAAGGCACAATGTGGACAATTTATTTTTCTTCCAATTAGTAAATTGCTCTTGATGCCAAGTACTTTTTGCTTTCCTATGGATTTTTATTTTCTTTATCTTTCAGAGGAATACACAAACATTATGACAGACTGATTTACATCAGTTATCTAATTTCATTGTAGACTTTATAAATAAGTCAATAACCTTTAATGAGGTGCTTTTAAGCGTCACATGGCAGTATATCTCAATGAATAATAATATACTTCCTTATACTGAAGCAGTGGCACTAGAGGGAAAACTTTTCTTCTTTCTTTAGCAGTGGAAGAATATCAGCAACAAAAAGCCATGGTGTTCTGATTTTCTTTCTTTGTGTTCTTCTGCAAAAATATTTATGAAATCCCTTAAGGCAAAGAATATAAAAATTGATTTTAAAAGACAGTATCATTCAGTATTAGCCATATAAATCACTCCCTTTGCAGCATAATGAAGAAAGATATAATAGCCCAAAGGAGTGCTAAAAAGCAAGGTATCCACAGCAGAAACAATCCTTTCTCACAGGAAAAGAAGTGCGTTTACACATCATTTTGTCAAAATTAAACAGAGCGTATTTATGAGTTTTGTTGAGATCTTAACATTATCTTCACTTTAAATCAGACTTTTTTGTTACGTTGTGAAGTTTAAAACCTGTGTATTGGTTCCTAGTACAAAAGTGGAATCACCGCAGCTCAGGACCGGGGGCAAAATGCTTCATTGTTATGATGCTGTGCTGAGCTCCCAGGTACTGCCAGGGGCTCCCCAGGCAAACCTTGCTTCGGCACTTGGGAGACTGCAGTCACACATTGTTGTACCCTCCTGGAAACTTTCCAGGTCAGGCAAATACCAGCACAGATCTCCGCATCCTTTGTATCACGTGCACGCGTGAGGAGGCTCTTGTAGTGGTATTTTCTCTTTTAAAATTTCTACATGGTTTCCATGGAATTATTTTGCCCAAATTAGGCAAAATACAGATTTTTTTCGCAAAATCGCTTCCAGTCCTTCTCATCATTCACATCTCCACTGTCCAGGAAGCAAAACATAATTACAAACAAAGCAGCCCACCCACTGCTAAGCCTCATGTATATACTGCATAGGATTTCTGGGCTCTCTGCTTCTCACACGAGGACTAAATATAGTTGATTATTCCCAGCTGAACTGAGAAGTTACTCAATGGCAGTGAATGAGGTTGCACCTGTCGAAAAGCAGTAAACTGCCATTGAGCATAGTGGAATTATGAAAAATATCAGACCAACAGAGTAAAATAATTTTGTAGAATTTTTTTTCTCCCCCTTTTACAAGTGTATTCCTTTCGTTTGTACTGGCTCTTATATAAGCTACTTTTTAAAGTCCTAGATTCACAGCCAGTATACATTATCTAGCCCAAGGCAGCCAGTGAAGCTGTCTACACCAGTTTACCCGTTGAACTTCTAGCTCTATCTTTCTGTGAGAAAACAAAGATTACATTCTGTATATGTAACAGTTATCTCTGTTTCTGCTCAAGCAGCACAAGAGTGTCTGAAACCTGAGTAACGCTCTGAAACGCAAAATAAAGGGAAGGTAACAGTTGCCTTGGCATCAGCATGTTGTTAAGAGAGGAATCAGCGTAACGTAGTGCTGCAGTGACCACATACAGAAAGGCTAATATCACCTGGAAGACAAGCATCTCTGTATCAGGGCTTCTTGAATTCCACAGCTGCTGGCTTTTGTTTAAAAATTGAAAACAGATGTAGACTTGTTCAGGGTCTCCAAAAGAGGAGTTCAGGTCATGGAGACGGCTACGAGAAGAAACATCTTGGCAGTAAAAGTCCCAGATTAGGCTACTACAAAGAAATTGCTTTATGCACTACTTAGATCAGGATGGATAGGAAGGATAATTACCGTTTTATAAATAATTTTGAAAGTGCAATTTTAAATTTAGCATCATGTTTCAAAGTAGATTACTTTAAAAACTGTCAAATGTATCAAATGTGTATTACAATATTCTTTAGAAGATTCATTTTTCAAATAACAAAAAATCTTAAAAGTGAGAAATTACATTCCAGTTTAAAATCCAGGTAGTGATATATTACCATTTTGATACAACAAATTTATGTGTTAGTCTGAGGACTGTTCAAGCAGAATATGCAAGATAGTTTAGTCAATTTGGGCCTTTAATAATAATAAAAAAAAGTTATAAAATTATCAGTTCTTAAAAAAAAATACCTACTGTACACGTGTATTATTTTGAAAATCAGGTTTGATTTTTATTATATCATAGCTTCAAATTAAAAATGAGGGGAAGCCGGATAAGGATTTCAGTATATTTAACCCATGAGTTTTGGTGTTCTGTGTAGTTTTGTATTTTGCATATGTGATGTGTACAAGCCTTTTCCAGCTTCATAAGCTACAGAAAAACCTTTCAAAATTTGAAACATTCCCTAGAGTATTTTTCTTAGTGACAACCAAATATTGACCTCTTTGATTTCTAAATCTTATTCCTGAGCAAGAAGGGGAAATACATGGGGAAAAAGATATTAGATTGCAAGGCAGAGAATAGAGTGGTGCAGGTGTCTAGGCTGCTACAGATAAGCTGCACTTGAAATCTGAAGCTTTCCCCACACTCAGGTTGCTCAGGAATCATAGAATGGTTAGGGCTGGAAGGGACCTTCAAAGGTCATCTAGTCCAACCCCCCTGCAAGGAACAGGGATATCTCCAACTAGATCAGGATTCTGATCACTCCAGCCCTTCTGGTATTTACCAGGGGATAGAGGAGACAACTATGTCCAGCAGCTTTAGTGAACAAATCTCCATGTACGATCAGAGGCAGAGAAGTTACTTCTCTATATATCCATCAAATTCCAATTAAATTAGGCTAGATTATTCACTAAAAGACTACAAAATTAATAATACAGAATCAAGGAAATAGGAAACATACTACTTTCTAAAACACTCAAAGCAAAAAGCAGATTTAAGTCTTTAGTTTAAACATTTTATTCAGATGTTGCATAACAAATTTTCATTTAAACTATTAATTTTTCATCAGTAGAGTCTTTTTTCCCTGCTTAATTGAGGACCATCTAATTGTGTTCATAAGAGAGGTATTTAGCATCATTCAGGGAACACAAATATGGAAGAGAAAGATGTAGAATAAGGAATCTAAGGAAAAAATATTCAATTTCAAAATTGAAATCATCTCTTGCCTAGCTGTAATGTGTCTCTCTAGGTGTAAGCAGAGAAGTTTTAACTTGTTGGCTATTTGAGCAGATTTTTCCATTGCATCTGCAAACAACTGGGGTTTTGTCCTACGACTGAAAAAGGACAAGTTACAAATTACATTTCTACTCCAGTCATTAGAATTTTACTAAACTAAAGAAGATTTTTTTTTCTGAATATTTAATTTTTAAAATATTTTTAAAAGAGAATATATTTTTTATAGTAACACAGAACTTAAAAACGCAGACATAGAAGCGTTCAAACTTTGCAAAAACTTGTATTTAGAAGATTAATGTTAACTTTACTTTTAAAATGTTTAATTATGTCTCCTACTGGAAATTTTGTATTCTTTTCCTGGTTTATTGAATATATTTGCTCCTACTTTTCTCTGAAGATCATCACCTTTTACCTTTCTCCTGCCAATATGCTTAAATCAGCTTAAATGGCAGAAACTGGAATTTAGCTCAGATAGGAAAGAAGTTAAGTTTTAAATACGGATGTAATAAACTGCCAAATGCAGTTATAGCATTTCCATCACTGTAGGATTTTAAGGGCACATTAAACCACAGCCTGTCTTCAATAGTTTAAGAGACTCATTGCATTCTTAATTCTACTTTCCATAAGTAGATAAGTCTTTTCGTAGGCATAAAAGTCCATAAAAGGCTTCTTTTTCTAACTGAATGTAATTGTGATTAG